GGATGTAAATACTACTTTTTTCGAGCCTTCGTCTGGAAAATTCTTGGGAATAAGTGGAACTTTGAAAATCTAGTCCCTTTTATTCAAAAAAATAAGCTCTGTAAATGATGTTTCACTAGTGTAGCTGTCAGAAAATTTCAAGCAAGCTATCTGATATTTCCCTTTTCCTCTCAGGTATCCAGTCATCCTTCTTCGTTTCCACCTTAATCCCGGCACTGGAGGTGATGGTTTTCACAGGGGAGGTGATGGGGTGATTCGGGAGTTGGTTTTTAGAAAAACGCAGGTTTTGTCAGTTTTAACAGAGAGGCGATCAGCTTTTAGACCTTATGGAGTACAAGGTAAATCTCACCAGGGAACCGAACTCGTAACTTCCCGCACTGAAGGCCCTTGCTCCTTAATGTTTCAACTACGTTGCATATCTGACAGAGGCTAAATTCGCCGGCTTTACTTCTCGGTCACTGCATTTCACTGACGTATACGAGACGGACCACGTGACCCATCGGCTGCGCGCAATAATGAAGCCTAGGGACTACAGTAAGTTTGATCGGAAGTCTAGCAGCGGTTATCTCCTGACACTTCCTATTTCTTTACAGTTCCAGCAAAGCTGCATTTATAAAGATGTTGGTCGTAGCAAAGCAAATTTTTCACTTGTCACTGAATTCTCCATCTACCATCAGTATATCATCCACTACTTTTCACAGACACATTTCCACTAACAACGCAAATCAATCTTAGAAAGGATTGGTAATTGAGTAGTTTCAAATAACAATTTCCTTCTTACGAAATTTGCAGGAGGCAAGCCGGGATCCGTTGGTGTTAACCTTCTAATAGACAATACTGGGCGTGTTATTAACCTTGGATCCAAGTCAACCGTCACAGTGAATGCAGGGGTAATTTTGTTTTAAAAGTAAAATAAAACCTTTGAGGATACTAAATAAGGTTAGACCAGTTGTGGGTCACGTGTCACTTATGTCCCCGCAAATTCATCCCCAGGCTCTTTCCTCTTCTGTTGAATTTATGGCAACCCGCTGAGCTTTTATTGGGGGGATACTTTCATACCTTATTGCCCGTAACATGCGCAGAAGAGCTCTCGGGTTGAGAATGTGCCCGTAAGGGAATAACATCTGAGTGAATCCCTGTCCAAAGGGGTGCATTACAGTCAAAGACGTCATGGCTTTAAGTCCCATGAGGAAATGCAGGGGAAGCTATTTAAGTGGACATACATGTAGACGATTTACTTTATCTCATCAATAAAATCACTTAATTACCGTAAATCCTCTATAAAGCCATGCGAACAAACTCCATGCGAAAAAATTTGGTTAACTTGTAACTGTACATCCGCACGATCTCAATTTTAGAGTATGCCGACTTTCCTTCAAAAATTTGTATACGCCATCCAAATCAATCTTCCAATTGTAAGCTGTCTAAATGAGGTATCCGCTGGCCCGTATTACTTGTGCTCAGTTAGGTTCGTCGAGGTCATGTACGTTTTAATGTATCTGCTGACCAATTGATAATTTTGCTCGAATCGCGAGTTCGACTTTGTAATGGAAGGAAGACAGGCTCCTGGAGTACTTCAGATCTAAATCCCTGTTCAATCGATTGATGTCTCAAGGAAGTGGTTGTTATTTAACGGGAAAACCCAATTTAGGCTTAACTAAATCAATATTATTTCTTGCGTCATTTACATTCTTCTTTGACTCTTCTTTAGGCTCGACATTTCCTCTCTTTTTGCTTGCGAGAGGTCAACTTGTATGAGTGATTCTGATCTTAAAAGAATTCTGGGTTCATTTCCTTGCAGGATCGGCTTAGAGTCCAGACTCCTGGTGGTGGAGGATATGGCAACCCAACAAACCAAATTGTTGAAGGAAATCAATCTAGCAGTCTTAATCTGTAACCCGAAATAACGATAGAATAACGGACTTTTACATTTCTTGAATTTTTTTTAAGGAATTGAAGAGTGATGTACATCACGATCTCCCAATTTGGTTCAACAGTGGCTAAAAGTGTCGCTGTAAAGCGCGCTCTACCAAATAAAAAGCAACCCTCCTAAACTTCCATCATTTAACAATGTCTCTGTAAAATTTTATCTAAATCGCCTCTAAAAAAAAACTAGATATAAGCACTTTAAAGATGTAGCACAAGCAAAATTTTGCCTTATGAATTTACCTATAGGTAGGTGTTTCCCCAGCGGTCTTACTGACGTTAAATTATTAATTCTAGCGCAGTTTTGTTCTTTGTATGAACGTCTGCTAAATATGGTAGAAAATCCTTATAACTCATCGAAGTTAGGTCTCTCATCGTTTCGGGGGGGGGGGGGGGAGAATTTGAGGCTAAAAAAGGGGAAATTTAGCCAATCCCCCTTTGAATGTTACTTCCCTGAAGTGATTCCCCCTAAAATTTAAATTTAGCCAGGGCAAAAAGCGAAGCTCCAGTTTTAATAAATTTTAAATTTAAATAAAAAAAAAAACTTTTAATCCAAAATAATTTAATTTAATGT